TCTCCTAAACAGTGTAGCAAAAAGCAATCATGGTGGCAAAATTGTAAATAAAGCAGGACACATTGGGGACACGTGTCAAGCAACGGATGTGCCGAAAATGGACACTTGTCGACACCACGAACGCTCAAACTCGTTTGTATAAGATATAAGAGAGATATTCGATAGCCATAAGTGTGTATAAGATCATATAAGGTTTGGTTTAACATTTATACATCCCAGTTGAGTCCATAAGTTGGTTACCCAATTTTTGGTGGTTAGCTTTTGTAGTTTTGCTTGGGCCCTGTTGATAACGGTTTTTGTTACGACAGTCTTGTTTGGACCTGTCATTAGATTCAATTGGCCCACTTTTTTTTCAGTTTACTATCTTCTTAACATGATCATTTGCCATTTCAAAAAGAAAAAAGGAAAAAAAAAAAAAAAAAAAAAAAAAAAAAAAAAAAAAAAAAACAACATGCAACACATAAACAAATATTTGTTTATATTTATAAACAATCCTACAAGCAAAGGGAATGTTTAAGGGAACTTCAGTTATTAATATAAACAAATATTTGTTTATATTTATAATCTACGTTTTTGTTATGAAGCCAACACTTGACTTCATAGTGGAGCCAACCTTCTATATACAACAAATAAACATACCATATTCAATTGTGAGTCCTAAGTTTTTGTTCTTAGATTTTATTTTGTTGTTAAGTTTTTTGTGTTCTTACACCTTCGAAGAACTGATGTTGTTTTATTTAGTTTTCATACTTTATTCAGAAACTTTGATTTAGTACTTAGGGATTTAGTACTGAGTTTGCTTGAGGGAGCGTGTCAAGTCCACGATACGTGGCTAGAGAAGTGGTTGATAGGATCGAGTATATATATGGCTAGACTAGAATATAGTTCTAGTAGTATGAGTCCAAACTATACAAGTGTGCAAATCGGTCTATTAATGAAAGATCTCTGAGAGACAGTGGACTCTCCCCGAAGAATTTTGTTAATTACCTCTTGTTTGTGCTTCCACTATTTAACTTATTATGGCATTTCAAGAAAGAATGAAAATTTATAAACATTATGTCATTATGTGTTCTAATACAGTTGAACGCACTCTACTTAGTATACCCACATTTCATTTTGCATTAATAAATTAATTATGATTTGTATATATTTTATTGCATAATAGCTACTACTAACAAATTATAAAGTCACACTATATAATATTACTGCCATTTTATTTTCAAACTATTAATCTTTATTATTTTTGTTTTTTCAGCTCATTAATTATTTTTTTTACTAAAATTATCTAATTCTATTTATATAGCATAACCAAACTCCTTAATTCCCGACACAATTGCTATAACAAGAATTTCAATATTATTTTATAATTAATCGTCATAATCAGACAAAATTTGCAAAAAATATAATCAAGTTAACCGGCCATAAATTTAATTAAATAATCAACAAATATCAACATAAATTTTTGACAAGCTAAATCAATTATATCCTGTTTTTCTAGTCTAAATTGAAAATTCCTTTGTTCCCAACCCCAAAAATAAAGATAAAATTAAAAAAAAAAGCCAACAACACACACACCACTCCTCCCCAGTTCCCTGCACTAACTTGTTTTACCCCAAAAAATAAAAAGAAAAAAAAAACTCAGGCGATCAAGTTATCTCCGGCCGATCCACCGCCCTCCTCCACCGCCGCCGCCAGCTCCTCCGCCCTCTTGGCCTCGTGCTTCCAATCCGTCCTCGCCAAGGTCCACACCATCATCCACAGGCAACACGCCTGCGCCGCCACCAGCCCCATCCACAGCCCCCTGAACCCCACCCCGGCCCCAAACGCCAGCCCCGCCGAGCACGGCAGCCCCACCAGGTAAAACGCCGCCACGTTTATCCAAACCCCTACCCTCGCCCTCGCCGACCCCGTCAGCGCCCCGCACGCCGCCGTCTGTGGCGCGTTCCCCACCTCCGCCAGCCCCATTATCGGCAGCACCGCTGCCACCCTCTCCACCACCTCCTTCTCCGACGTGTAGACTCTCCCCCACGACCCCCTCACCGCTACGCTCGCCCCGAACGCCGCCACCCCGTACCCCAGCCCCGCCGCGAAACCCACCGCCGCCGCCAGCCTCGCCCTCCCTGGCCGACCCGCCCCTAGCTCGTACCCGACCCGCTGCGAAACACTCAGCCCCACCGCAAACGGAAACACATAAACCGTCCCCGTAGTTTGTATCAATATCCCCATCGCCGCCACGCAAGAATCTGGGTCGTCCAGCAAACCGCTTAGAAACAGAACAATCTCGTACCACCACCACTCGAGGCAGGACTGAACGACACTCGGGAGGGCAAGTCCGAGCAGCGGACCCCACCCCCGGAAAATCGATCCCCCGCCGGCGCCCCCCCACGGTTTTATAGCAGACTTGGAGAAGAACAAATACACGAAAAGCCCAATATTCATGTTGACCGAGTAAACAACCGAAGCCAGAGCAATCCCATTAACCCGTAAATTCATGTAATTGACCAGAAAATACGTGATCGGAAGATGAAGAGAAGAAACGCAGGCGGCAACAATGGTGTTCGGCTTGTTGAGTCCTTGGGTTCTGAGAAAAGTTCTTAAAGGGATCAAATTCGAATGCGAGAGAAGCTCCGGCAAGGAGAAAACAAGGTAATTTTGGGCGATTTTGGTGATTGCCGGATCTTGGCCGAGACGGTGGAAAACAGGGTCGACGTTGAGCCAGAGGAGGGAAACAGGGATGGTGGCAAAGAGGAGGAGAATGACGGTTTTGAGGTAGGTTTGGGTGAGAACGGGCCAGCGGCGGGCCCCGAAGGCCTGGCAGCAGATTGGGTCCATGCCGGAGCAGAGGCCCTTCATGACCGAAAATCCAGTGATGTTGGCGAAACCGACGGCAAGAGAACCACCGGCGAGTTCGGGTTTGTCCATGTGGCCGAGAAAAAGCATGGAGATTATGGTCTTGGAGAAGTAAAGCATTGTGGTTAGTGCCACGGGGCAGGTGATTTGGCCTTGTCTGAATACCTCATCAATAACCTGTCAAAATTGATGGTGCAAATTAACTGCAAATCGTGAAATGCAAATATGCAATTGAAATGATTTTTTTTTCTCAAAAAAATAATAATATTGGAGCTGAGTAGTTAATTAAGATGGCTATAGTAAGGCGTTACTCTGACGTAAACGAGCTGAGCCAAACTAGAGAGTATTTAACAAGCCGAATAGATAAATGGGATCGAGATGTAACTAGCCGAATAGATAAATGGGATCGAGATCGATCTTGGCTCGTTTTATCAATGTTAACAAGCTAAGCACGAGTTCCAATGAGGTGGACACGATTCTTAATGAGAAAATCACATTATAATTCATATTTCAGGCTCGGCTCGTTAACTATACGAACTTGAGGTAAAGGAGTCGAGTCAAGCGGAACTCACAAGCAGCTCGTTTCGTTGAATAATTTGTTTCATTTTTTTTTTTTTTGGGTTGAAACTTTTGAAGTTGATAATGCAAATTGGAAATCATGAAATGCAGTTGAACTTAATAAATAAATAAATCTGGTATGTCTTTGTCTGACGATGTAATATCGGTATTTTGAATCACAGGTCTTGATACTCGAGCTCAATACCAATCATTTATCTAGTCGAGTCAAACTCGGTTTGCTCTAAACGAGCAATAAACAAGCTCAAAATCCAACTTGTTTATTAGTATTAACAAGCCGATCAATCTCGAGACTTAATAAGTCGAGTTATAAAAAATTACATAAAATAATACTATTTTGAGTACATAACGTTAACTAAACAAACTCGAGTCTTAACAAGCTGATTCGAGCTAAGAAACAATTCCTATGGTTGAACAATTGTAACTAATAAAGATGTTATATTATATTGAAATTATATAAAAAAAATAAAAAATTAAAGTCTATACATGGTGCATAACTTTGTTTGAGTATCTGGCCAATCGAACTGTTTATACATGTGAGATTTATTTAAATATATGTTTTAACTTTAAGGTGACCAGATTTTGGGTGTAAGCCAATAACATTAGTTTCTTGCTTACAACCTAAATTATGAGTATACCATAATTATTAGACCCATAACTTTTTATGTCCTATTTGAAAATTTACAGATATGTCTCTGTGTGTGTGTGTGTACGTGGGTGCATGCCTGCCTACAATCAACCGTACCAAAAGACCTTAATTAATAAATTTATGAAACTTGTGTTGGATCAAATTTACCTAAACCTTCACATAATTTGAACCAAAAAGGCACAAATTAACTAAAAGATTTGTGAATAGGAAGCAGAAGAAGGTCGGTTCTTTGGGGGAAATTAAAGAGAAAGAGGGATATTGTTTGAAATAATATAAAGTTAGTTACACAAAAACACAATACCTCGGTCCAAGGCACTCGTGGAAAGAAAAGTCGATACCATTTTACACCCCTCTCGGCCTCTGTAACACTATTGTTATTACTATTACTATGGACTCTTGATATGCTACTCGTCTCAACTTCTCTATTTACGTGCTCGTCGACTTTGATCTCGTCGCCAGCAATGCTACAAAGCTCGACTTGTCGAGAATCGCTCATTTTGCACGTGACTGTTTCATTAATTTCACAAAGAGAGAGAGAGAGAGAGGAAAATATTATATAAATATGATCACTACTATATAAAAATATAGCTACATTATTAAAACCGTAAATTGAGAGTAACAGTCAATCGTTAGAATCACAACGAAAGAAAGAAAGAAAGAGAGACATATATAACTAATTAATGGCTAACCTTAGTAATGCCTTCCGAATGGTATAGTCCTCGTGTTTGGATAAACCGAGTGAGAAATGTTCAGGCGTTCGAACATTGTTCATGACATACACACCAAGTTACCTCTACATATATATATAACTATTGAGAGAGAGAGAGAGAAAGAGGGGGAGAGAGGAGATGATGAAATTCTTGATTATATATAGGCAAGTTGAAAGCTTTATTCTGGTATATCTTGAGGCAAATCGTAGTGTATGCCTTTCCTTCAATTATTATTAATTATTTACTACTAAAGCTACTATTATTATTACTCTTGAGTATTTTCAGTCTTTTTACTCTAATTAAGTAATTATCACCATTTTGCAATATTTTCCAGTTGGAGGTTGATTGCATGAAAAAAAAAGTTGCCTTTTTTGGCTTTTTTTATACAATCTATATATATAATAAATAAGAATTATCATTTACTAAAAATAGTAGCCAAAAATATAAGAAACATTTAATTCATATCATTTTTTGAAATTTTTTAAATATATGCATTAATTGCTTCTATGTACACGTTTTCAAATAAGATCAAATAAAATATGGTAAAAAAATGACTTAAATAAATTTATTAATATATGCAATATTTTTATTGATAGTTATTACTACCTCCTGTTCATTATAAATGTCGTTTTGACTTTTGTGATTCATCCATTTTATTATGTATCTAGACATTAATATGTCTAGATACATAACAAAATGGATGTCTAGATACATAACAAAATGGATGAATCAAAAAAATCAAAACGACATTTATAATGAATAGGAGGGAGTATAAAAAATTACAAGATTGATTTTCCGTTATTCATGTTGATAAAATTTTGGTCAAGATAAATATTATTCTATTTATACTTGTAATACTTTCATTGATATTCATTATAATAAATTACAAGATTGAATTTCATGATCCATGTTGATAATATTTTGGTCAAGATAAATATTGCACCATATTTTAAGTGTTAACCATAATATTAATTTTTTTTTTCACAAATATTCACTTTTTATCTAAAAATATTTAAGAAAAATCGTAAACGATTAGGTAGAATTTTTTTTTTTCCAAGTAATCAGACAATTTTTTTTTCCAAGTAAAAATGTATAAATCGAAAATGAAATGGGATAAGGGGAGATAACTAAGCTAATAGCTAGCAAAACTTGGAGTGATCGTCAAGATGAAAAAGTAAATATTGACTAGTAAAATAAGATGTTTAATTGAATGAGTTTATGATCTAATGGTGTTGTTTAATTTGAATAAATTCTACAAAACCTCTTCTATATATTAAGCTAGCTTTTGGAGATGAATTGTAGGCGAACATTTTAAAATTGAAGAACCCACATTGCAATATTGGCCTAAGTGGAATAAAAATTGAAAACAAAATAAAAGAGAAACATATACAAATCCCTTAAGTTGTGGATTCTTGTAAATAGAGAAGAGTACATACATTTGTGCATATATAGTCTGGCTGTATTTGATGTTAAATGTGTTCAAAAGCTAATAAATACATTACGTCTACTCTTCACTTTTTCTCAAAACATTTATCTCTATCTTCATTAAATAAGGTTATTATTGACAAAAAAATATTCTTAATTAACGTGCAACTTTTAAAATGACATATATTAAAAATAGGAGGTAGTATTATTTAAAATTTAATAATTATAATTGACTAGGTACAAACTTCAATAATTTGAAAAAAATAATAATAAAAAAATATACATAACTCATTCCTTTTGTGGACATATAAGGGAAAAAAAAAAAAAACATTTGACTTTCTTGGTAATGGAATGAAAGATATTGTAGCTAGATTATGCCCATACTATAATTTGAAGTTAATCTCCTTGATTTTCACAAGGTTTGAATTTATTACTACTGGTCAATTACTTCTTTGCATGGTTGATCATAAATATATACATGACCAATAATTGTGTACGTGCCAACCTTTTTTTATTTTTATTTTTTGGTATATATATTTATTTTGAATTGTTTAGAATCATTATTACATGTCTAGAATTCCAAAATATTTCAAACTCAGCTACTATATTTTTATGATATATATATAGATAGCATTATTACTATAATCCTTTTGAGAAAATTCAAAATTGGAACCAAATTTCAACAGTTTTTGCTGGAATTAGTTTTTCTCCAGAATCGTTAAATTATTTCAACGGTAATCCAAATTAAAATTAGTTTTAATATATGAAACATGTTAGTTAATTTCTTCTCTATTTGGAATATAATATTGGAATTTCTGTTAGAAATATTTTTTTTTATTGGAATATAAATTAATTAGAAGGGAAACAGTGCCCTAACGTCGAAATCTCTCCCTATATATTAATTCAAAACGTGTTGAGCTTAGGTTGCAGATTCTCACGCTTCGGATGCTGACATGGCGAAAATCTATGTTTCGTGATGTTGTTTTTATATTATTTTTGCTTTGAAGTTAGGTTTGGTATTAGACATAAATAACTTTACACATATATTCATTAACTCAACACCCATGTTGTACGGGTATTAGTACTAGTAAATATTTTTAATTCACACTACAATTTGCATCTAAATTGCAGGCCAAGCTCTATTTTTTTTTATTTATTTATTTTTTCAAAAAGTTATTTTAGCATATCGATAGTTCCCATAAAGACACGATATCTAAGCTCGACTCAAAAGCATGAATCCGTACATCATGTGACTATTAATCTATCTTAAAAGTGCTAATTGCTTGTCATTAATTGGTCCCTTTTTTTTGTAGTTTTCTTTACATTTCTTATTTTATTCCTTCCTTTCTTTCCTTACATTTAGAGCATTCGCAAAAAGCGGAGCATTTTAGTGAAATATTTTTTTATTTTTTTTTTTCGAGAGAAAAACTAGAATAAGATCAACATGTTGCCATCATTGAAGCTTAGGTTAAATAAATAATAGATAAGTTACTAAACAAAATGAAATGAAAAACATGGGCGAATAATGATCCATAAAAAAAAAAAAAAATCTTGTTCTAATGTATTTTCCCCATCCCTCCCACAACTTGTCCTAAAAGTATAGTGCTCAATTCATAATGTTGTACATGCTTAGAGTTGTTAGACAAACCTGTTTTCGAGCTTGACTCGATTCGTTTATCGCGCGAGCTTATTTAGTAAGAGCCGATTCGACTCTTTAAGTCTAGAAAATAAAATTTTTATTCAATTTTCTATAGCTCGATTCGTCGATGTTGAAGTTCGACACATTAAGGCTCGATTTCAGCTTGTTAAAGTCAATAATAAATCGGGCTCGACCTCATTTACTGCACTAGTTCAGACATACAGCTATTGTCCCGCCCAAACTTTCAATTTTTACTATGTGTATATATATATACATTATAAGTATTTTATCAAATTTTTATCCTTTACTATATATCAATATATAGTATCAACATATTCAATTTATACCTACACTCAATAATTATTACTAGTTATTATATTTCTTTGTCTATTAATCATTTTTAAGTACATTATATTTTTGTCAGTAATTTTTCACTCTTCATCAATAATATTTAGTGTTTTTTCTTTGTAATATAGGATTTAATTGAACTGAAAGTATGATACATGTAACATCTTACAATAAAGAATTTTGAAATAGCAAACCATGCAAGATATGCAATTTCGTTGGATCGGAAAAGTTATCGCAAGAACTATTAACACTTGATTAATTGTTAATGAGTTCCCTTAAAAAAGAAAAAAATCAATTGTTAACAAATCTTATGATGTAAAATAATCTCAAGCAAAATTTTAAAACACCAAAACCAATAAGTTATATATTTTGTAAAATATTTTTATTAATTATTTTATCTATTTAATATATAAAGAGATTATATGTCTTTTATGTGTGTGTGTTATAAAAAATATTTATTCTTAAAGGTGTTATTCAAGTAGAGTAAAGCAAAAATTCTCAAGTTCAAGCTCTTGTTTGATTGATAAATGAATCAGTTCGGCTTGACTCATTCACGAAACAAGTGAGACTCATCTCAGTTAATACAAAAATTCGATTAAATGTTTGAGATTAGCTCGTTTAATTATAACGACATGCTTAGCTCGAGTTTCTACTAGTCAAGTTGAGCTGTGTTTCCAGACATTTTTGTTCGAATAACAACTCTAGTCCCCTCTAAAAGTTTTTTCTAGATATGCCCTGCATTTAATGGTCAAGATATAAATATATAATGCTCCCAAAAGCACATCAATGCCTTTTATATTCTTGTACTTGGCTCACCAAAATATAATTATTCACAATTAATGGCATCGTGCAAACAACTTTTTAGTACATTAAAAGGTACAAAATATATGATTAATGCTCCCAAAAGCACATAAATGCTTATTATGCTCATGTACTTAGGCTCACTAAGAACAAGTTACTCACAATTGGCATCGTGCAAAGATACTTTAAAGGGCCAATTGAGCATTCACCACATGTATACCCATCTGATCTTTAAACGATTCGAGTTCTATAATACGAGTCGTATTTTCAAACCATCTGATCCTTAAACCATTGGAGCTTTGTACTTAATAGCACGGTTAGATACTTACTTTTTTATGAACCACTCGAAGTTTTTTCTACCAATATAAAAGTAACTTATTAATACAGACATGCATTACGAAAAATAAAATGATCGTACATTTCAATAAAAAAAATAAAAAAAAAATAAAATAAAAATAGACAAAATAGTCATATTCCAACAAAAAATAATATAGTTAACGTACATCACAAACCAAAAATAACGAAAATCAGTTGTCCGGACAAAAGACCATATCCAGCTCTTATCTTTAATCT